ACAACGAACTCTTATAAAATAATTAGCTGGGCAGTAAAAAAACTCCTACATCTGTGGATAAGTTCAGCGAGCCACCGATTTCCAAAAAAAATGCAGGAGAAAAAACTGCCTTAAGAGGTAGCATGGTACAGTTAGATGGGATCCTATTGTTGAGGGTTCGGGATGCTTACTGTCATGGGAAAAATAATATAGCGGTGAGTTAAGAGGGGGTCTTCCGGAACAACAGGAGAGCGCAGTGGAATTTAGGGCAACATCACCCAGATGTGACCCACCAGACTCCAGAGTCCACCGATAACTTGGCGGCCAAGCAATAACCTCGAAGGTCACCGTATCCTGGGAACAGCTTCAAATGTCAGGAGGACCATTTTCGAGCACTCTCGTAATCACATGGACAGGGCGTTCCCCTGACGCCATTAGACGCTCCATTTTCTCTTGCAGGTCACCTCTTCGGAGGCTTGAGCCATGGGACACCAACAATCGAACCGATTTCGGAAAAAGACACGGGAAATCGCGATTACACGGCGTAGTGGCAGTATGTAAACAGGTGTCAATACACGTGTCCATTCGCCCATTCCCCGTACTAGTTAACTGAATGGCTCTGACCGTGGCCGGCGCCCGGGAATGGAAATAGAGAGAGCGAGGTCAGAGCATTTCCCTCAAAATAAACAATCGAATGCACTTCAAACTATCACGGTGCACCAAAAGCCATAACTTTGAATGTTGCCAATTGACGGGATAGGTAGGACCGCGCAGTCGGGCCTGTGTGTGTTTGTGCAGAGTGGCGGACCGGTGAACTGAGGGTCAGGCCGCAGTGACTCTTTCTTGGTGTGGGTTCTATGACACCTTTTATCCCTGGGATCCCAGCCAAGTGTGGCAGCAGATCTAGAGGCGGCTCCGGCCGCGCTAGCCAACTGCCACCTCTTCCACCTCTGGTTTTCTTGACGGGACCGGGAAGAGAGAGCGGTAGATGCAGCGCAATTCTACTCTATAATTCATGAATAGGTTATTGTCTCCGGCCCAACTTGCTGTGGAGCACACAGTCAATCTCTTCAACAATGTGTTTTGAGCCCTCTGAACAGTCCACGTGGTAGATGCACCAAACCAACACAGAGGCTAGATCCAAACACTGCAGGCATTATTCAGATTGCGCTCCCATAACAACCACCGAACATGAGGTGGGGGGGAGGGCTTTACGCGTAGCTGCAGGTTCACACCGCGCCAGCCACCTGTGTCCCGTCTCGCCTCCGGTTTTCTTGAATTTGTCTTGATACCGGACACAGGTCGGTGAGTGAAGCAGGAGTGCGTTAGATGCCGCGCAAGTCGACTATTACTTAAGACAAATCCTGACGCAGGTTGCCGTCCCTGCGCCATCATGTTGTTGAGCATACAATGATCTACGTCAGGCAACGACGGTCAAACTTACGTGTGTGTGCGATAGAACCCCGTTACCCATACCACATTTTCACATTTCTCCTCACCTAGGTCAAGTATAGACACGCCCATCATTACACAAAATACCTTTACAACCAGCACTTCTCGCATGAAAGGACAGCATGATCCGCGGCTTCTTCTGCAGATGGTATGTATGCTCCGAGACTGAGATTACCCCTGTGTACAAGGCGCCGTGGCTTGCCAACTGACAAGTGCACTCAGACCACGCAGTCAGCCCAATCTGTGTTTGTGTAGAGTGGCCATCTGGCGTTCTGGGCGCTAAGTTGCAATGGCTCCTTCTTAACCTGACCTCT